ATCTGGTGAGATCGACCAACGAATCTCTTCTTCATGCACTTTCATACGAAATGAAGGTCCCTCTAACAGATTATAGAGGTTATCTGACGCAACTTAATCGTGTTGTCAGGGCGACCTAGTTGGACCCACCTTGTCCAAAGTCCTCTGATCTAATAGTTATGCTAGTTCTTAGCGGTAAAACTGTGTCCAACCAGATCCTCCCAAGGACGCGACTAAGTTGCGAAAACGAGGTCAGGCCACTTGTATTCAGCGAAGGAAGACTGCGACCACGACTTATTGGTCTTCTTACCTACCATTGCAGTGTCGGCTTGTGTCTAATTAACCGGATTGACCGGTGACCTTGGTGAATCTATCGTATGTCATGCCACCTCTTATGAACCCCACACTCGTCCCAGTGAACAAGCTTGGCTCATGAACCCTTTCGGCCAACTAGCTCTTCGAAACTCATTCTCGAGCATACCTCCACGTCTATCAGACTCTGCCCCATAACCCAAAGCTAGACCAACCGTCCGACATTAAGCAGAAGCCAGCTCTCACATCCCTCAACTAATTTGCCAGGAATACCTACTGCCGGATCGACGACGGCTTTTACGCCACCTCTTTTTAGTGCTCCTTCAATTAGTCGCCTCTGCAGACTTTTTACGCTTGGCTCACCGAAGACCAAGAGGCCAGCGCTGCCACGATAACCCAACTAAGCCAGTTCTTCCCATCAGTATTTCCTCGGGACGATGGCCAGCATGTCGGTTCCCCCGGAATCTTCGAGCCTTCTACTTACGTCGCCTGTTCCAAAGATCCGGAGGACCGAGCTTATACGCCATATGAGCCAAAGCAAGGTCTAATGACGTTGGCGTTATGCCCACGACTGCAGGACTATTTGCTCTTTTCGCCTGCTAGCGTCCAATCCTTCACTCGTCAGCTCATGTGAATCTCATCAAACTTAGATACACACTAAAAATTCCTGAGCTACAGATAGTTATCCATATGCTTCTGTCTCCATGCTCATTCCTCTATCTCTCTTCTATATTCTCATTTAATTCAAAGTTAAGTGTCAGTCTTCCAGAGGTTCTACAATCACTGGAAATTATGAGATACTTCAAAGCACACTTTTTATTCATACCCTTAATGAACCCAATTATCTTCTATATTCACCTGCATATATACTCACATATGCTTGCACGAAGGTATACGTGAATTCGCATATGTTCACCTATTCACTCTTGCATATGCATGCATGCCTGCAAAGATACGCACGTACATATACATTATTCTAACGTCAGCGCAAGTGAAGGTCACTCTGCCCTAAAACAGGAGATCGAAATTGTGAGGAAGCCATAGCCTAGACGAGTGGACATATCGCGACTATGTGAAATGCAAAACTGTTAATATAGGTCTATAAGAAATAGTTGACGAACACTAGAGACAAGATTTTTGAATGCCTTGAAATTCACTGACTCAATGGCCGTGAAAAGGCTTGAGAGCTCGAGGGAGCTAAGAGCCAGCCCATATCACTAGGCCTTCAATATTTTCTTGAAACCACTGTAGGCCCATGTTCCCCGAAAAGATGTTTTCCGCATCTACTAGTTAGCTGGACGCATTAATTGTTATTTGACCTTACAAAGTAGTTGAGCTAGTCAATAGTAAGGACCAGGCTTAGTCACAAGTTTTACTGCCATGCTAAGCATACAGGCAAGAGGATGTGGCAGTAGCGTAGCGAGGTGCTCGATAAATCCTTCAAAGTCTCACCGAGGATTTGGTTAAGTTGTAAAGCCGAGGTCAAATAGAATATAAAAATCGTTTTTATAAAATTAACTATATCTATTCGTCATGAATTTGATAGACTTATACAAGTTATTCTTAAAAATATCTATGTATCGCCTACCACAATTTCTCTAGCACCTATTTTCTAAATTCGGTCATAAGTGTTCGGGATCGCTTGGTCTATGGGACTTGCGAAGCCTGGACGCGTCCAACATCTATACATCCACTCATAATACTATGAAGCCCTAGGAAGAATAGATGGGCTAGCTTTCCAACTATCAATGTTCGCTACTAGATGTAATAACTACCTGCATTAACTTTAACTGAAAAATGCTCCTACTATCTGACATTTCGATTCAGATACCACCCGATAAGCAAAACCAACGAGACGCCTGTATAACTGAAGGCATACCGGATCCAGTTGACTGGAGACCTCTACTCGAGGCGGCGCTGAAGCACTTGGAGGAAAAGGAGCTCATTACGATTACTATAGCAGACTCGGCCTTAACGGATGTCGAAACCGCCAACCTTCAGTCGGAGGTGCCAAAATCATCCTTCTATTCTGGTCAGTGAGGTCCGAGGATTCAA